GGGGCTCACCTGCATGTTGAGGCGCCCGCGCTGGGCGCCCAGGCCGTGGCGCAGCATGGACGAGGCCAGGAGCTGCTCGTCCTCGATGCGGTGGGACTCCAGCCCGATGGGGGGACACTCTGCCACGAGGCGGGGGCAGGGAAAGGGGGGTGGCACCGGTGTCCCCTAGGGGGTCCCATGCCGCACCCCGCGCTGGGACCCACTCACTCGTCTTCTCCTCCGGAGGAGCCCGCTCGTCCTCATCTGGGTCCCACTTCTTCCCACTGGGTTTTTTGGGTTTTCCTAGGAAAAAGGGAGTGAAATGGAGAAGGCAGAGGAAGAGGCTGGAGTAGGTGGGCAGCACCCAGAGGGCAGCACCCACCTTTGCGGTCACGGCCTTTCTCCTCTGCCCAGGGGTCCTCTTCTTCCTCCTTGCTGCTGCCACCCTTCTTGTGCGTCCCTGGGCCAGAGGAGGGGATCAGGCAGGTGACACCCTCCCCAATGGACCTATCACCCACCCTGAGGGACCCATTACTCATCCCAAGGGACCCATCACTTGCCCTGAGGAACCCGTCACCCTTTCCAATGGACCTATCACCCATCCAGAGGGCCCCATCACCCACCCTGAGGGACCGGTCACCCAGGCCAAGGGACCCATCACCCACCCTGAGGGACCTCATCACTCACCCGGCTTGAGTTTCTCCTCGTCCGTCTCCATCTCATCCTCTTTATCCGGGTATTTCTCGGGCTTCGCTGGTGGTGGCGGTGGCAGCGGTGGCAACCCATAGTCCACTGTAGGCAGGAACCAAGGAAGGAGGCACTGGGGGGACACCCGGGGGGCGCCCTGAAGTGGGGACGGGGGGGCTCAACACTCACGGTCATCGTAGTCGGGGCGCTCCAAGCCATCCTCATAGTCCCGCCCTGGTGGCGGCGGTGGCGGCGGCTGGGGCTCAGCTAAGGGGCAAGAGGGGCTGTGCCAGGGCAGGCACCGGGGGTCCCTGCACCCCACAGTCCCCAAGCGCCCCATGGTGTCCCCTCTGTCCCCAGCTCCCTGCACTCACTCGGCTTCTCCGCTTCAGGCCAGACCCGCGGGGGCTTCTGCCTGCTCGGGGGCTTGCGGGGTCTCTGCTGCCGACGGATGTACTCGACTGCAGGTGGCAAAAGACACGGAGGGGAGGGTAAATGTGGGGACAAAAGGCCCCATGGCCACTCTTGAGGACCTCAGGGTGTCCCCCTCGGTGCAGAGGCCCATACAATCCTCGTAGTCCTCGCGCTCGAGCTGGTCATTGTAGTCCAGCGTGGGCGGCTCCGTCTCCTCGGGCAGCTCTGCGGGGATGAGGGACGTGTTGGAGGGGGGTCACCACAGCTGTCACCCCCTCTTTGTGTCCCTATGTCCCCCCATCCCGCTGTGCTCACCAAAATCCCCCCCAGGCCATCGCTCCTCTGCTCCCGGCTCTGGTGGCAGCTCCTCAGCTTCTCCTGGGGACAGAGGCAGAGGGACAGAGGGGTGGTGGGGGGACCCCCCATGCCATCCCCTTTGGTCAGGGGGACAACGCAGGGGGCAGGGGTGAAACAAGAATGAGAAACCGCAGGGAAAAGATAATCAAAAAGAGCAGCAACCGCTGAGGAATGAACTTCCCAAGCAGAGGAGAAAAAAAGGAAGGAAGGGAGCCAGATTTGGGAGAAAAATACTGCGATTCCGAGCAAATAACAGAA